AACTAGAAAAATAACCGGTTCAACATGTATAAAATTTGGTGGTTCAACATGTATAAAATTTGGTGGTGGATGGACCGAACCCCAAATCGGTCATTCTTTAAATTTTTGACTAAAACAACTTATATTTATACTTATAGTTAGCCAGTCTAAACTAGTAATTGGCAAGCTATGGTGTAGAAATATGAAATATGAAGCGTTTATTTATAATAGAAAACCCTTCACCTTTTTCTAATTGGAGTTAACGTGGGACCTTAATATTTTTTTTGTAAATAATTTATTATAAACTTCTTAATTTTAGGTCGGTCAATTCGTCAATTGGTAGTGTAGCATCACCTATGGGTTTAGGCTAGCTTGAGGGAGTGGACGGCGTCCAACTCGGCAAAAATGAGCTTTGGATTCTAATGTGGAGCTCGGTAAGCATGGTCGTCTGTGCTCAACATGCAACTTTCGTGTTTGTTCGTCAATGACGCGAGAGAGAGAGAGAGAGAGAGAGAGAGAGAGAGAGAGAGATGGCACTCGGAAACGCCGGCAACACTCCTCCGAGTGTCAATCACATTGAACAATGTTCTTCTTATGATCTTTTGGAAGATATTATATAGAAAAAAGTTAATAAGGACGACTCGAAACAATCAAGAATTCAATATTTGACTAACATCAATCCTGTATCACCTTAAAGATAAACTAGGATCTAATTATTATATAGCTAGTAATTGATGAGATTCACCTACATGTCCTTGGTTGAGGATATACGCAAAATAATTATGACGCATGCATCTGTATATAGGTCCTGAAGAAAGACCAATGGTTGCTAATTTCTTTGCCGATAACAGGAAGTCGTTGCTGTTATATGAATTATTGTAGTGTAGATTCATTACCATGTATCACGAACAACTGTTGATCCTCCACTATACAATTCTCAACTGCTCCACACATTGGAAAATCCAAATACTACCATACATATTAGATTCCTTTTCTTTCATTAAAAGACAAAAAGCCATAAAAATCAGACGATGTACATGTACTTATTAAAACTTCAAGAAGCCTATAATTACAACAACTACCATGACTAACTAGATCTCATTACATTTCATCCAGAACCAATTGGTTGTATATAAATTGGTCCCAAAATCTATATATTGTAGAATCCTAGATATGGCATTACATACAGTACCAAAATCTACACATACATACGTAAGTACGTACACATACATACATACATATATGAATACACACATACATACATACATATATGTGTATATGTATATTGTTTTTCAAAAGCAGACAGCACAAACATGAATGAACTCGCAAATAACAAATACAATTTAGAGAGAGGGAAGAAGTGAATAAAAAAGAGACAGGTTTTGATTGTAAATGCCACTAATCTCCTTCTCCTTCGGTTACTGCAGATGACATCTCGTCCGCTGTAGTGGCTGCTGCATTATTACTAGCAGCTTGGAACCGTTGCTTGCAAGAATGACAAGTGATTTCTAAAATGGTGGCACTGATTTTCTTGGTAGCTTGTTCTCGAAGAACTCTAGCCCTTTCCAACTCCGCTTGAGCTTGTTTTCTAATCCTCTTCGCATGAGCAAACTCCAACTCTGCAGTTTCTATCTGCCTCTTCGCTTGTTGCCTAGCCTCTTCTGCAAACTCATTTTCCGAACTTAATGTCATCTTCATCTTCTCTTCTTCCTTGTGGAAGCTGATTCCACTTCCAATAGAGAGCTTTAAACTGGTTTGATTACTGGTGCTTTGTTCGTATAACGACGATGATGGCAAGAGCTGAAGTTCCAACTTGTTTCGTGTGTGATCTTGAGTTTGTGGGAAAAGAGGTTCCGAAGGTGGGATTTGTTGCATTCTTTGCAATGATGGGATTGCACTCAAATTTGTGTCGCTTGATGGACTCGTACTTGATGCGGTTCTAGATGAACACGCCTGTTGATGAAACGCCGTCAGGTCTGGGTGCACTCGGCGGACAGTACAAGCGTCTTGATGCTCTATAAAACTCTCAACTCTACAAAGACAAACGAGTCATGACTAAGAAAAGCATACAATAATCATTCAAAAGTTGAAAAAAAAATTTTAGTACGTAATGATGTATGCTGGGAGACAGAGATCACGCGCTATTGGACAAAATATCTAATCAAACGTAAGAAATCAAAGCCTTCTCATGTAGGGATAGCAAGAAGAAAACAATAAATTAATGATCAAATTAGGAAACGTTGAGTGTTTGAGATTATGACTTGTGACAATTAATTTATATGTAGTATATCTAAATAACTCAAGTTTAATCATAAGTTTTTGGATTACATTAAGTAATATTATATTAAAAGAAAGACTAAATTAAAGCGTAATGAATATTAAGATTTTGTTTTATGTTTTAATAGGAAAAACATGAGATCATAGATCCTAGGAATTAATTCATTGGTTAATTTATTATATATTGTCAAGAGTCAAACTAGAAAAAAAAATGTATGTGTATAGAAACTTCAAAGATTTTGGAATTACTTTAATTACAATGAACAGAAGTCGACATTTTCTGAGAAAAAGCATTATATAAGGAATTTTTGTTGCTTATCGGTTGTTGCTGAATCCCATGTAGGAGTATGAGCAGAGAAAACAAACACCAAGGAGGAAAAATGACATAGTTTCCGGTCTTTCCCATTTAAAGCTAAATTCCATGTAATTAAGAAGATGTGGGTGGATGTTTAATGTTAATCGAGAAAATAAAAGAACAAAAAAAAAAAAAAAAAAACCTGGAAAAAACACGGCCACAGTCACAAGAATGGCCTCTAGTGCCACAGGTTTTGAGATGAGCTTTATAATCAGATTGAACAGCATAACCCTTTGAGCACTTCTCACAAACCCACTGTTTATCATTGCTGTGTTTCCTCCGAAAGTGCTTTTTTATTCCAACAAGATCACCGAGGGCGTGACAAGGATCATGGTGTAAGCAGCTGGGCTCCGGGCACACGAAGACCTTCTTCTTCACCTCCGGTGTCTCTCTCTTCAAGAGTTTCCATGGCACTTTATGCCGTCTCCGGTGCATCTGAAGATTCTGATCCCTTTGGAACCCTTGGTTACAGATCTCACACACGTATCTGTCCGACTCCAACAATGTCTTCGGTGATAAAGATACCACCTCCGCATCCGGATCTGTAAATCGAAACATGCTGATTAAAGATCACATATACTTCTAATGACTAAATTCAATAAGAAAGATGATTGAGTAATGGGTACCTGGGGTGCCAGCAGGACGTCTTTTCCGTTTGTTGGAAACACCATTATCTGGGGAAAGGAAAGGATCAGAAGAAGAAGATGGACCAGGTGCAGAAGTAAGATGGTGGAGGTGGTGGTGGTCGCTGTTGTCTAACATGTGGGTGGATTTTTGTAGTGGAAGAAGCTCGAAATCTATGAGAAATTAATCCAGTTGATTCGGTACAGATGTTGAAGTGGGGGTAGTTGTTTGTTTCAGCTTTAATAGTTCTTGAGATGAGGGGGGAGATAGAGAGGAGATGAGGATAGAAGAAAAGTAGTTTGCTTTGAGAAAAATCAGCTTTCTTTTAAGCTTTAAGACCTTTTAGCTTTTTCAATGAACTTTCTTTGCTTTTCTCTCATTGACCCCGCACCTTGAGCAGGTAAGGTTGAGCCAAATCTTCTATATAAAGCTTGCAACAGTGGAATAGAGAAAAAGATTAATACACACACTAAAGAACACATAGTGTGTATGTGGGGTTTAGGATGAGAATGAAAGAGATAGAGGTTCTTAAACCCAATCAAATGAATCGAAACTTGAGCCCACAAGAGAGAAACCCGACAGATGAAACCAAAAATACAACCCCACCACACAAGAAAAAACAAACAAAACAGTCATTAAATTTTTTCTCTTTTTTTTCTTTTCTTTTATCAATGTATAAAAGAAAATGCAATGTTTTGCATGAATATATGCAGGTCCAGAAACACCCTTACACGTGACTTCCTGTGCTGCCTCACGTGACGTACTCTTTTTCTCTACTGTAAAGTTGAAAAAGGATAAAAAATAGTGATGTAAAGGTGATTCCATCGTCAAAAGTACCCCCTACCACTGTTAGAAAGTAAAAAACATGATTATGAGTAGCATACTAGATGGTGTTCATTTGGAGAAAGAATAGAGTGCTGCAAATAAAGTAGTAGAAAACATGATATGTAAGCTAAGAGAGGAAATTTTTGTGGCACATTTTTCAAGTCGAGCTTCATGGGTTAAATGGCAACATAGGTTATTAAACTCCATTTTCTCTATGGTAATTATCACATGTGCCGGCAAGTAACATTATTCACAGTCTTAATGCCATCTGATCTAGCTTGTCATCCCCGCCAAACATGTATATGACCCTTGACGTTTGCTCAATAATAAATAATATATAAATTTTGTGTAATTAATAGTTATATTGGGAATCAAGCATTTTTCAGTTAGGCTTGAGGAAGGATCATGGCATGTCACGCACGGGCTTTAGTTTTTTGGCACTAACTTCACCACCATATCACTTTTCCCAAAATATATATGACATGTCACTTTGAAGGGATGAGTCAAAATTGATTTTTTTTTTTAAAAAAAGAAAGAAATTCTCTAACCCTCACACACTCTTTCATTTATATCAACTAGACAATTAAACTTCAGATGCTTCTTTGTAGCTTGGCATGCCACATTTGGGGATGGTGTAGGTCAAGTGTTGCGGTCATGCCGACCTCTTGCTGGCTCCACTCTTTCAAGCCTTAGTGCGATGGCAAGGACTGGATGATGAATCATTGTTAGTATGATCATTATCAATTAATTAAGGCACATGTTAATTAATTTGTTAGGAGTTGTTATAAGTGGTTAGCTCATGTATATATTCATATTATGTTTTCATCAAGTTAATACAATTGTTGATGCAAAGAAGGATACTAGAAAAATGCTAATTGGAATATCTTTCTACATCATCGGTACAAAATAAGAATTTCTTCTTTCCTCCCTTCTTGCCTTTGCCCTGGAAAACAACTCCCAACGGTTTATGAAAAATTTCTCCATCTTCGTAATCATCAATGTTTATTTTCCCTTTCAACAAAGCCTTAGGAACTTTCGACTTTGTGTTAAAGGCAATGGAGAGATCAATATCTGTTAAAGCCAAGTGAGCAAAATAACACTACAAAATATAAGCCATTTCTTGGCATACAAAAAGTTCCATTAAAAACCCAATAAAATGCCACTGGAGGTCTCAGCTAATCAGCGACACACATAATAAGTGCCACTAGAAACGCTCCCACTAAAACCCTTTAGTGACACTTTTTGTTTTTGCCGCTTCAGTTTTTATGTTTTTAGTGACATTTTTTTATTTGTCACAATAGAAGAAAAGTTTTTTGTGACACATATTTTATGCCACTAAATGCTCATTTGATTCAAGAAAAGTTTTTTGTGACACATATTTTGTGGCTCTTTTTTTGTGTCAAAAAAACATGACAATCTCTTTATTTTTTAAAATATGAAAGCATACAATATAAATTTAATTATTAAATTAATGTTTTTCGTTATAGCTTAAAATAGTACATATTATCTTATACATACACTGATACACATGATGATACTGACTTTCCCATGATTTACATGGCAGCAATAGAAGGCAACTCTGCCTCCACCTCCATTTCCGCCTTAGCTCCACCATCTGCCACCCTATCTACGTTTGTCTGCAAATAGAAATACAACCGTAAATCTTTTATAGTAAGATTGGAGCAATTTTAAAATTTTAATTAATGAAAATAGTATGTACCCTTTTAAGTTACATGTAATGTTATCATAGATAATGGGCAAGATTCTCTTGCCCATGGATGATTTTAGCACCAGAACCTGGTCATTCAATTCCAAATGTCTCCTCATTAACTACCGCATCATCTATCAGATCTTTACATGTTCTTTCATCAGGAATCTGCAATAGATTCATAAATTATCATTCTATGATTTGATAAAAAGAAAAATGTTTTCTTTTAGACACAAGAGTTTAGCTACAAATCTCATACATGTCACCCGTCAGTTTGTTCTTAGTTATTGTTTTCTTGTAATTAATTTCAAAGCATTTTTCTTTATAATGTAGGTTAACCTGCAAATAATAATAATAATAATAATAATAATAATAATAATAATAATAATAATAATAATAAATTACCAACATTTTTCATTAGTAAATGTGTTGAGATGAAAGAATACTTACTACATTCATCTGATATAACTTATTGTATTGTTTCCCTAACACATTCTTTGGATCAGTTAGCACCTACAAAACATTATTATTTATTCATCCACTTTACTTTACTCATACAACACTTAATGATAACAAAAAGAAACAGACATATTAAAACCACTTAATGCCTACTATTAATGAAAAGGTACTTGGACAAGTTGAGGATTTGTAAGAGCTAATAAATTGTCAAGAATTGGAAACCTTACAACAAATTCGGGTATCAGACCATATGTAATAAGATCACTACTTCCAACCTAACAAACATAAACAAACACCAAACAAATCCTTCCATACAACACTATATTCAGACATATACACTTAATGGAAGAAAAAGGACTTATAGTCTCCAATAAAGATGAAGTCATAGAAGCAGATGTAACACCTTTAGTTCTTATGTTAGCATGAACAGGTGCACCGAACCCAATAGAAGAATCTTGGCGTCTGAAAATAAAATATGTGTGTACTTGAAAATTCCAGAATAATATTATATTTATAATACAATATAGGAACACCATATACTAATTAGTCAATGATACCTTTCTAAAATGGTTTTTTCGAGATCTATAAAGGCACCCCCACAAATAAACAAGATGACTTTGGTATCAACATGTAACAAATATCCTTATAGTATTAAACATTCATAATGTGGTTTACTTTACAAATTACTAAATTAAAGAGATTTTGTTTTATATACCTGAATGTTATCTCCTCTAGGATGTTTCTGTGCACCCTTTTCAGGGACATTAACTACATGTATAAAGGTCAATTCTAATAAATTAACAAACTTTCAATTTTTCTGAAATAATAAAACTAATATAACGGATATAAGGAATACCAAAAACATACAATCCCTTCTAGCATCTTTAATAATGCCTACTGGACACCCTTACCATAAACATCTCTAATAATTTTAACACTTTCATCCTGTGAAAAAAAGAAATTAAGAAAGATTATTTTAAAATTCAACACTATGGTAAGCTTGAGCCTTGACAGGTGAATAAATTAAAGAAAACTAAAACCTTCTTTGTAATCTTCTCACCTTCATCTATATACATAATGCCCTGTTGAAAATAGATATTGTTACTACTATTGAATCAAATAGTTTGTCAACTTGTATGGATATTCTTTGTCCTTGTTTTGACAGAATATGGAAAGGAAATATGATGATATTAATATCCATTACTAGTATCTAACCTTAGTTTTAGCAAAATATGTCATGGACTTCAATGTATCCATCACAGAACCACATCTCCGATAAGCAACCACAAATCAGTCTTCATCGCCATTTCACAACCCACACTTGTAAATCGAAAAAAAAGATAAAAGAAGGGATGTGATTCAAATTAAAACAAAGGAGAAAAAAGGCACATAGGAAAAATGGAAAATCTAAACTTGCATTTCCAAGGAAAATGGTGAGGTTTAATTTCTTGTTAGGTACCTTTGTAATAGAGGGATACTTGATTGAAACAACTAGCACATCATATGTCATCATCTTCAACCTCCTCTACGCCTTCATCTTGTTCAGCCCTAACCAACATCATAACCTTATTTCTCCTTTCAGCCAACATTGCATGATCATCTCAATCCATTATATCGTTTGGTTATGCAAGCACCTTTAGAGGGGTGGGGGTTCGTGATCTATGGTGGCTACAAGATACACATGGAGAATAGGCGTGAGATGCGATTTTCATAGATAAACCCTAATAATGAACTGAAACAAGCACTCATCTGGTTATATATCTCTTATTTGATTCGAGTAAAACATGATTTAAACTTTATAACTACAATCAGATCAAAACAATGAATTACATGATTCTCCAAGCTGAATTCTATTGTTGATTTGAAATGTATTGAAAAAAGCATAATTAAAGGAAAAACATATACCTAGTCGAATGGGGAGTTCTCGCGGGGTTGGAATTGGGAGGAAGAGCAAAGAACTGCTTATCCATGACGACGACGACGATGCAGCAGGAACGATGGTAACTGGTAGAGCATGGGGCGATGGTGCAACTTGTTGTGTCGATTGTACCGATTGTTTGGATCGTTTCTTGGGAGGGGGAAATTAGAAAATAAAGCAAGGGGTAAAATTTTCTATTTGTAAAAAATTGATGTGTATGTATCAGACTATCAACTTCATATTTTAGGGGATTAAAAAAATGTATACATTATACATACTAGTTAGGAAGGTAAAAAGATAAAGCACAAGGATGAAAAAGTGAAAATCGTGGAAAATATTCGAAAGATGGACCAAAATTGTAATTTTCATAAAGATTAGGGACCATTTTATAAATTATTATTATTATTATAATTATATAATTTTTTCAAAAAATTGAATTTTTAGTGGCATATAGAAACATTATGGCACTAATAGTTATGGATATTAGTGACATAAAATGTTAAGCACCATTAAATCCTCTAATTTTAATAGTGGCACATAGAATATGCCACTAAAAACATGATATTGTGGCACATCATATATATGGCATTAAAAATGTATCCCAATAAATGACATTTTGTTTGTAGTGTAACCATTCAAAAAGCTCTTGATGTGCCCATATCCGATGATGTACGAAGCTTTATCTTGTATTTGAGATTTTATCAAATCACCCAAGATCATCGTAACTGTAATAAGATAATTAATATTCATCAATGGGAAATCGGAAATAGTGAAATCAAATAATACGTTGTTTTCCCGGACAACACTGTATGGATAATTTTGCAAAACTCCTTCGAACAAAGCATCAGGAGTTATCGATACAATATTGACGATCTTTACCAAAGACCACACATCTTATTCATTCTTCTCAAGCACAACATGAAAACGAATCTTCAACTTCTTAAACTCAAGTTGATCCTTATAACTCTCAGCATGGAACACCCTGTTTCGATTCATTCCATAATTCGGGACCGTGACCCGAGGATCAAGCATCGTAAGGCTTCAGGCCTTGGGAATGAGAGGTTTAGCCCCATTTGGTGATGTATAATATAGGTTGCGGGTACCAAGTGTTCAGTTTGTGTTTTGGTGCCTAAAGGTATAACAGAAAAGTGATGGTGTGGGCTTTTATGAATTTTGGATTTACGTTCGGAAGGTTTTAAGGAAAATGAGAGTTGATAGGAATGTAGAGCTTCTCATTACCTTTTCATGGATATAAAAACGTCGAAAACAGAGTTGGAACGAAATAGTTATGATTGTTTGAAGTTACAAGGATTTAGGGTTAAGCCAAGTACACTGGGCGTACAGGGAGTACTCTGAGCGTACGAGGCTTAGATGATCGCGATGGATCACCCACGTACGTTGGGCGTACGCCAATCAGACCAAAACCCTAGTTTTGGGTCTTGGACCCTATTTAAACATCTTAACTTCTTAGGAACCCTTCATATCTTCAGCCTCCACCTCTCCAAACCCTAAAAAGAAACCCTAATTTCAATTTGAGTGTTTTGAGCTTGGAAGTAAATTTTGAAGGTGTTTTTGGTGATCTTGAAGGAAGAAGAACTCTTTGAAGTTCCATTGGTGTGGCTAGAGCTTGTGGATCCAGACTCATCACCAACTTGGAAAGCTTTTGGAGGTATAAAGCTCTTAACTTGATGGTTCATTTTGATAGATCTAGTTAGGACTTGTTTTTGTGCTTTTTATGCTCCTTAAGACATATATGAGAGTATGAGCTACTCTAGAAGCTAAGGATGGTATATCTTAGCATCTTTGACGTCCACTGTTCATAAAAATGCAATATTGATGTGTTATTTTGGACCATGCATGAGTTACGGTTCTTATTATGGGCTTTATTGAGTATTGGGTCCCATTAAGACATGTAAAGGAGTAAAGTTGCCAACTTTACGTGTTAAGACATCATTTAAGATCAGATCTGAGAAGTGGACTTAGTGGCTTAACCAATTAAGCACTTAATGGTGAGTTGGGTTGGCTATGGAGTACGCGGGGCCTGATAGTTTGAGCTTTTAGAATTGCATGCTAGTATGGATTTCAGATGACTGGATGGATTGACCTGATATATGATGCCTTGTAGCCTAAGAGGATTTGGATGTTATACTAGATTTGGAATTTTTCTTGGTAGGAAGTGAGCTTGAGATGTCCTCTGTTTGGTTGTGGCTTGGAGTGTTACTGCACGAATGTTGCTTGCTTTGTGCTTTGTGGGACTCTTGATGATGTGGGTTAACTATTAAGTGAATATGTTAAGTCACGTGATGTATAGGTTAAATAATCTCAGAGTGACTGATTTGACCCTACTGCGCAGCTGTCGTTTTAGTCTAACCTTTGTAGGGATGAGTCTTTTACTCGAAGGATTATCTAAGCTTTGTTGCATATGATTGTATTCATGAAGTAGTTAACTGACATTATTGGGAGTTCTTTAGCAGCTGATGGCAGGGTGAGGTCAGGAACCTAGGAGAACCAAGGTTGTGCTATAGTGAATTGGTTGCGCTGTTTAGCATATATTTGGAGTATCAGTTTGAGAAGGTGACTTGCAGGATTCGAGATAACTATTGAGGAAAGTATGGATAGGTGTGGAAGGTAGTATTAGGCCCATACTAATGAAAGCACATGATCCATACTCGACTCGAGGTGAGTCACGGAGAATCTAAGAAGCCTAAAGGATCAGGATTCTTTGGGTATGTTCTGATCATTTGTACGGTTGCTTTTGAAAATGGTTATGAGCATACGTGGAGGAAGTTCATGTGGCATCCCCAAATTCACTGTCATTTAAAAAAAATTATTTATGCTTATTTTATAATCAGAGTATCATTTTTGAAGAATAATATTACGTGATTTGTTCCCAGAAAACATGATAATGATATTATCCAAGCATTTATGAAGAAATGTATTTTATTTAAATTAAAACATTGGGATGTCAGCGTCAATACAGAAACATAAGCATAAACAGACCTCAAATTAATTTATACTAATGATCTATATCTCCTTGAACTCCTCAACATAATGTTGTTGGATTAATGTCTAAGTCCATGACTATATTTGGTATGTACTTGACCCGACTCGGCATGGTCCATTTGGGTTGCACTTCACCGGCACAATTTATATGGATAGTCTTTTGAGAATAGTATATTTATGATTTATATTAATATATTATAAGTTCTAATATATTAATATGGAATCATATTATTTAATTAGTATTGATCAAGAATTAATTTAGAATTAATTAAGTGATCAAAAAGAACTAATTAAATATGGACTCTTATATATATGGAATGGGCCAAGTTCATTTAGGTTGGGCTAAGCTTTCATGGATGGTCCATGGAGCTTTTAACCCATGGATCCTATGTAAATGAAAGGTCATGGGTATTAGGGTTTACATGGATGTAACCCTAATCCTCCATAATATATAAAGGGGTCCTTGGCTCACAAAATTAGTACAAGTGTGTGAAATAAGAGTGGGCCGATTTTAGTGTGCATATATATTCTCTCAAGTTCTTCCAAGGTGTTTTGGTGATTTGTGATTCCATTTGAGGCTTCCACACTATTGGGGCTAAGCTCTTAAAGCTTGAAAACATCAAGCTACATCAAAAGGTATGTCATCTAACTAGAACTTTGTAGTATAGGTGCTTCATAATATGCTAGTTAGGATGAAACCTTGGAATAGTTAATATTTGCATGTATAATAGAGAAAACATAGATCCAAGGTTTATAGGGTTGCATGTACACCATAGGAGTGTTAGAATGCTCAAAACCCAACAGTGGTATCAGAGCCATGGATTGTTTTCTGTTATATTGATGCAAATGTTTTATTTTCAAAGTTGAAAAAAAAGGAAAAAAAACATGACGTTTGTCAAATTTTAAGATAAATACTTGTTTTTGGGAAAAACTAATTATTTGTAAAATTTGAATCATTTGCTATATGAGTTGAATTAGGTCAAATTTAGTAAAAGATAAAATGATATGATTATTTTATTAGTTTTAAAAGTTTGATCTAAAGAGTTTTTGAAACCTCCATAAGTTATGGATATGAAAAGGTTAAAAGAAAAAAATTGATTCAAAATTTTTTATGGAGTTACAAAACTTGGTCTTAATGTTTTAAAGAATTCCAATACTTGTTCTTAAGTTATGGAACATGAAAAGTTTCATCATAAAACAAAACATTAAACTCCATAAGTTATGGAATCCAAAAGTTATTATTTTTTTTTGTGTTTCCTTGATTTATGAGTTAGTTTAGATTAATGAAAAAAAATTGTGTTTTAGTTGTTTTCAATCCTAATTAATCTAGAGGTAGTTCATAAAATGTGTTTTTGTAACTTGTCCTCAAGTTACATAAAAGGTCACATTTATGAATCTTAAAACTCATAAAAGTGTCATAGGTTACATAAAAAAAATGAAGAGTCTTTTTCATTAAATAGTATTATGACTCCATAACTTGTCCTCAAGTTATGGATGTTTAAGAGTCACTTCTTTAAAAGTGTTATTAAAGAATAAGATGTTACATAAAAAATGAAGAGTCTTCATTTTAATGAACCATTAAACTCATAAGTTATGAAATGAAAATTTTTTAATAGTTTCAAAAACTTGCCCTCAAGTTTTGGAATTTGTAAAGTTTTCACTTATGAA